TGCTGTCTGGCCACACATATAATCAATTTGATTTCTGTGTATTCCTCCCGTGAGGTATTGATATTAACAACACTAAGTCTAAAAATGTGAACATATTTAAACTGTTTATCAATTAAAAATATTCCAGACTTAAAACTTCAATCATTAGGGTGTGCTGTTTTTTTTTTTTCTCTCTCTCTCTAAGGAGGAACCCATGGATACAGACCAGGGTAATAATATGTTAACTGCTATTCAGTCAGAGGTAGCCAAAAATCAAATGCTTATTGAAGAAGAAGTACAAAAGTTAAAGAGATATAAGGTATGTTTTGATGAAAGTATATATTTACTGTTTGATTATTTTTCTCCTTCATTTACTGTTTTCAAAATAGTAAGTTGATTCTCTGACACTAGTTACATTAACTTGTAAACCTTCTTTTCTTTTTCATTTTAAAAAATATTTTTAAGTACAGGCAATCCCTGGATTAGAGATGGGGTACCATTTCTAAGTCTGCCTTATGTCGAATTTGCACATAAATTGGAAGTTTGGTTTGTGTCTAATGTCAATTAGTCAAATGTTTGTCTTAGTATATAATATATAGTGTACCTTTCTATGCAGTGATAAAATTAAAGAAACACTTCTAGATACACTAAGAAATCTTGAACATTATAATACAATAATTATAATATTTTGATGCATGTCACAAAGTAGTATCCATTTCTATACACTTGAACTTTTAATATAACAGGCTCGATAGGGGTTGGATTATAACCCAGGAACTGTTTTTATTACTACCAACAAATATATAACCTTTTTGATGCTTCAGTTCACTATAATTATTCATTCATATTTTCCCATCTTTGGCCATTGGGAACCTCTTCAAGTTGTCTTCTAATTCCTTTTGATATGATCTCCATAGTATTTGATAGTGTCTTTGCTTTATAATATGACAAGTTGTTTCTGGCATATCTTGTACATATCCTACCTCAGACTGGGAACCAGCCATTTATTTAGAGATCACTTTCCTAGTGTATAAGAACCCCTGCTAACCGAAAGATCTGTAGTTCTAGCCCACCAACTTCTCTGTGAGAGACTGATGGGGCTGTAAAGATTTATAGTCTCAGAAACCCTGTAGAGTGGTTCTGCTATGTCCTCTAGGGTCACTATGAAATGGAATTGACTTGACATCAATGGTTTTTTTTCTGGGTTCTCAGGGTACTTAGTGCTACTGATTGTCATTGTTTCTGGGTCTTTTTCTGAACTATAAGAAATTCATTTTTTTTGTTTTGAAGAGAAAATAAAATATAAATTCATATTAATATTTCCAGTTTAAATTTAGGATTAATGGATGTTATACTTGAAGAAGTTAAGTATCTATGTTTCTTCTCTTAAATTGAAAATCTTGGTTTCAGACAACATTACTATAATTATTTATTTGATTTTTGCTATATACGTATAGCATATCAGGAGCCCTGGTGGCACTATGGGTTAGTTGGCTGTTAACCACAAGGTTAGTAGTTCAAAGCTACCAGTTACTCTGCTGAAGAAAGATGAGACTTTCTGTTCCCTTAATGATTTAGTCTTGGAAACCCTATATAGGGTTGCTATGAGTCAGAACTGAGTTGATGGCAGTGTATTTGATTCTTGTTTATTTTGGTATACCAAGTATGTATTTATGTGCAATAATAGTATGATTACAGAAACGTTTTTTCTTATTTGCTTTTTCCATACCATATATTCCATTTTGGATGTTCAGATTACTTTGTTTTAAATTTATTTGAAAACATTTTCTCTCTGTGATTATATCACCAGTTTGATATACAAATAAGTTAATTAGTTTTCAATACTTTGCTTTCAAAGTATTTAGGGTTTATTTTATAGTTTTGGTTTAATTTTGTTTAATTATGTCAAGCATTTATAGATAACAAGTCAAATTAAAATCTAGGTTAACTTTAATAATGTGGTTCTCCTTCATTTACAATCTGCTCGGTAAGTTTTTCTCAGTGCAAGTGAATTTTTATACCTACTTTTGTACGGTGTGGCCCATATGTCATTTGTCACATGTGTCATAGTTGTTAAGTGCTATCAAGTTGATTGTAACTCATTGGGACCCTGTATAAAGTTTCTGAGGAGCAACTGATGAGTTTGAACCATCAACCTGTGGTTAGTAGTTAGTGTTTATCCTACAGTGTCTCACACAGGACTCAAAGTAGAAAAATAAATTTTATTCATCTGCAGTTGACTTGAAGACAAGGACTGTTCTTTTCCTCTTTAAAGTTTTTATTGTAAATTGAGTGATAGTTTACATGGGAGAACATCGGTTTTACACTCGTTGTTTCTTTGCAATGATTACAGTCTCCTCCGTGTATCATCATTCATCACTATTTGCCTCTATTCCCCCTTTTTTATTCTTGTGGGCAGGGAGGAGGATGGTACAGAAAACACTCAGGAGTGTATAATCATTTAAACAACCAAAGTGTGCATTCTGCAAGCCCACCTCTTAGCTGCTAGCACTCAGTCTTTTTCTTTCCATGAGTCTAGCTTCCAACTCTGATGTCGCTGCTTCTCTGGGTAGTGTTCCACATTCTGCTCAGGCTCTTCTCCCTTAATGGTCCTAGGGTCTCTGTTCCTCGAATGTAAGATTAACTACTACCCCCTTTATGTTACAAAACGTATACCTTTACAGTTGGGACAGTCGCAATTCATCATGATAACAATTACTCACTATTGAACCATAAGAATCTTACCTCCCATCTCCTTTCACCAGACCTGTCTAGACAAGATGAAAACTATTTATTCACTGGGACTTCTACCTTCCCCTGCACATTCTGACACTAAACTCTCTCTTGAAAACTGTAACCCAGTCACTTTGAGCCTCTTTGTCCCCCATTTTAGACAGCCAATGTCAAAGTTTCCCTTCCCTATCACTCCTGCATACAGAAAGGGTAGGATGAAGACTCCTACCCTCTCATTTGGTGTTTTGAGCTACTACATCCATAAGTATAGGTCAAGTTCATCAAATTGTAGCAATTTACACTTGTTTCCTTTATCAAATTCTTTTTATCTTCCTCTACTTGAGT